CCCACTTTATGGTTTCCAGAGAGTTATCTGATTTTGATGGTGTATCAGGCCAAGACAATTAATCCCTCCCTTTCTGTCCTTTACTATGTGAACAATATTTCTTTGAATTCCTACGGATTTCTCTAACACCCCACCTTTTCAGAAAATGTGTTAAAAATCATGTTAGCTTACATGATAGTTATTTTTTTCCAATTTTTAAAATTAATATTGTTTATGTTTGCAGTACACAATGATTGCATTCATTGTGGGGAGTTGGTACATGTTGATAACAAATCTCAATTTAGTTATAATACTAATTATCTTGTATGGCACTAAAATATCATTTGGCAAGCAACTGCCTTCACAGGGTTTGTTTCTATAAAGTTGATCAGGTTAACATATACTTGGTAGTTATACAATTTAGAAAAAAAAAGGTTGAATAATTTGATATGCATTGCTTATTTTGTTTCTTAGCAGTTTGTTTTTATACCGAAGTTCCCTCCAATTCTCTTTGTCTGGTAGGTGCATTTCTTATAATAGGCACCCAGTAAATAACTGTAAGAGAAATAAACAATGACTGTGCTTCCACTGCTGTCCTATTGAGTCAAAGTTAGGCTAAACTAATTATATTTCTAAGTGCCTGAGAAGCCCAGAACAGGGCAAACAGTCAAATAATATTTGAATATTCTATTTTTGGACAGTTACATAGTTTCTTCACCCCAGGGGTTACATTCCTCTTGGGGAAACAACAGAGCCCTGAGGGAGAATGCCAGGGTGAGGTCCCCTATGCTGATACACTCAGAGAAAGTGCGTCGGCCATCAGCCAGGCTGTCCTGAGAAACTTATGCTTATTCCCTGCATTGTATTTAAAATCTTCCTGAGAACATTTATGTAAGCCAGGCTTTGCTAGTTTAGGAGAATGATATATTTCATAAATACAGCTTGTGATGGCCTTTTATTTCTTAACCAAGTTCAAGCATCCAGGAATACTGTCATTATTTTTTTTTCATTTAATCATTATTTCATCTTATCTCTAAATATGTTCTTACAATTGCAATTCTCATAAGTCTAAGTTCCAACATTTCTTTATCAAAATACATAATGCTTTCATTATATTTTAAGATATAATTCTCGGGTTTGACCAATTAATGCCAAGGGGGATAAGGGAAATGGTTTAGGAAACAGTGGTTTAAAAGACAAGATTGGCTTTAGAATAAGGGACATTAAAGTAGATAGACTCTAGTGTAAGAATAAAGGTTTTCTTTAAGGGTAAGTCCTTTGGAAAGCCACTCTAGTACAGAAGAAAAGGTATGTTTGGAGGTCAGTAATGCTGGGTATGGAATCAGACTTTGACTCTTTCATAGCTATAAAACTGGACACCTAGGGTGATCTTATGGAACATTGTTTTCTTTATTGAAAATGCAGGAATAGTAATAATTTCATCAGATTCTTGTGGGAATTATAATAGTGATGTCTACCATGAATTAGGCAAGTGCACACACACTCACACACACACAAATGTAATGAACTGTGGATCTAAGGTAAAAGAAGATACCAGAAACATTGCAATAAGTTCATGTTTCCCAATGCAAAAATAGAATAGTCTTGATTATTCTACCGTTTTAAAAAAAGTTATTCTAAATTCTTGAATAACAATCCTATTAAAATATGTACTAGACTTTGGAAAGCATAAACTGGGAAAAAATGTTTATCAAGAAGCTGGCATGACCTAAATTGAGGTTCTCTTGGCCCTGCCAATGAAGTGGCCCAGGAACCAGGGTGTTTGTTTTTTGGTATGGCACATGAACAAGTGTGTCCACCGAGGTCCCAGAAGTTCACTCAGAGTAGCTCTGCCACTAGTTGTAAATAAAGAACAGATGCTAAGGGAGAGTGGAGAGGTCCGAGAAGTCACCATCAGGGACAAATATAAAGAATAAGTTATAAGCAGAGCTACTGTTCCCATTAAAGACTGTTAAGCCTATAAAGACGTTGGGAGCAACAGCCCTTGTTGTCCTTCCCCATGTGCATAACTTGCTCATACCAAGACTTTTAAATCAACCCCCAGACGATCGATTAACTAGAAACCAGGAAAGGAGTACCTGTGAAGCTGAGGCTGATGAGGAATTTTGGACTGAAACAGAGCTTCCCATGGACCAACAGAAGCACAAAAGGCATTAGTTTGACCTTCCCTATCCATCCCAGAACAACATTTCACAGAAAGGCTTGGTTTGATCCTATTGCTCGATAGTGAAAATGCAAGCCAGCACCGCTGTGCAGGTGAACAGCTGCTCAATGGTGCCCTTGCATCCTCAGCTGTGTCATATGAGAAGTTAGCTGGGTGAGGCTGGGCAACAAGGGGTCTTAGAAGGTATGAATGGCATTCTAGGCAAAAGGAACAGCTTGGGGAAGTCATGGAACTGGGTGATGAAGATCTCATAATTGCTTATTTAGAGGGAAAATTTAGGGAAGAAGCTGGCTGGGAAAGGGACTAGAAAATCAGGCAGTGGTCTTGTCCTAAAAGACTGTGCATAACATTAAATATCTTGCTTTTGATTTTGTAAGTAATGGGAAAGCTTGAGGAAGTTAGAGAGAGGAGTGTCGTGAACACATTTCTATCTTAATCCATGATGGAATACCAGGCTAGAAAACGGATCTGAAATACTAAAAGAAAATCAGTTAAGAAGTAATTGGAATTGCCTATGCTAATGATACTAAGGGCTGAAGTGGGGAATGAAAGCATGAAGGAATATTGACTCCAGATAGGAGGTGCAACTGGCAAAATGAAAGACTGAATGAGCATAGCCACTCAGCAAAATAGAGAACAGTGCGTTACATGGAGGAATGACTTAGCAGGTGCAGACAATAAATTCAATTTTCAACATGCTAAGAGAGCTTGTGATGACATAAAATGGTTATATCCAATAACCATTTGAATTTTTAGAGAAATCTAGGCTATAGATAAAATATCCCAAATCCTTAAAAAACACATAATGGTCAAATGTGAGAAAGAGCTATATTGCTTACAGACAATACACTCATTCATGAATTAATTCATTCACATATTATTTCTCAACAAATGCTGTGTGAGCAGTGGCTCCCAGTCAACTCCGTGGCAGGCCCTGCTCTAGGGTCTGAAGACACAGCTGTGGACAGAAGAGTCTGTGCCTCCACAAAGCATGGTCCTATAACCTGGCTAGGGGAAAGAATGTATCAAGTAGCTGAGAAGGAGCGGATCTCATGGGGACTAAGAGGGCAAGGGGAGGATCAGGAAAAGGAGAGTTCTAGAATTCAAGGAAAGAGAACATATTACAGACAATATCCACCAACACACTCAAATGTGGCAGAACTGTTGAGATAAAATAAGACCTCCACAGGGTTCTCCAGGCTTGCAGTGAGAAGCTGTGCTGAGCTGAATGAGTGCAGTTTTAATAGAGCAGGTGGGGCAAAAATTAGGTAGCAGCTTAAAGAATGCTGAAACACCGAGTGGAAGATACATGGAAAGGAAATTTGGATGAGAAATAATCCCAGCACTCAGGAGGTTGAGGCAGGAGGATCCCTGTGAGTTTGAGACCAGCCTGGGCTACATGGTGAGTTCCAGGTCAGTCTCAACTACATAGTGAGACCCTGTCTCAAAAAACAAAAACAAAAGAAATAACAAAGAGGAAAAGAAGGATGAAAGCCGTAGGCAGGGAAGGTCATTCAGTCCAGAAATCTTAAAAATGCTACCGTTTGTGCCTTTTCTCATTCTCAGTGTACTTACTCTTCACATCATGACTTGAATAATCCATCAGCAATTAAAACTTCACAATCACTGAAGCATCAGCAATCCCCATTGCCGTACATCATCAGCATATCTAGATAGTGCAACTTTAAAATTTCCCCCGTTCTGTAATTCTTATGTCTAATACTTGCTAGTCTTCTAATTTATCTAATTACCCAACCCTTGATCTATCTTTTCTGGTCTTCTCTGCTGAATAATCCATCTTACCCATTGTTTCCAAAGTAATCTGCTAAAGCACAATCTTGTTCATGTTATTTCCACAATTTAAAGGCTTCTGGACCTTCCCAGTGCCTCTTGAATTAAGTAGAAAGTTTGACATGATTCAGTTTTTTCCACAATGTATTTCTAATCCAGCTTTTTTATCTTATCTCCTAACATAGGGTCCAAATCAGCCTGTTTATTGACTTCTAACTAAATATAAATTTTCCCCCCTGTCCATGAATTGTCCTTCACAGTGTCAACATTTTATCATTTACTTCCAAGTTCAGTAGTCTCCTTCATATTTTTTCTTAAGTCCCACACATTATCCTTTGACTCATGTACATTTTATTTATAGAGATGCTATGTGTATTCCAGATGCCTGTATATTATATACATAATCTCTACTATGCTTTGAGATCTACGAGAGCAGAATAATTTAACATACTTATATATAAGTATATTGCATAGAGCAGAGCAGACAGGAGTTGTCTAACCAGAGCTTGATAAACATAAGCCAACTCCTTAGAATGTAAAATCATAGAGCTTAAAATGGCTTTAGACAGCAATTCAATGGCCTTTTATAGATGAAGGAGTTGAAGCTAAAATGTGCTAGTGATTGGCCCAACATCTCATGGCTGCAGGTGACCAAATCGTTCTCGGACCCCAACCCTGGCTCTCAGGTCAGTCCTCTTTCCACTCCATCACCGCACCTGTTTGGCAAGCTCAAGGTGAGTCATCATCCTCATCAACAGTGTCCCTGAGTTGGGCCCTGGCATCGGGGTCAAAGACATAAAGTTCTTTTCCAGTCACACGAGTGTAAGAGTCCATAACGCAGGGAAAATAAAGAGAGGCCTCAAGATTCCCGCCCAACTTACCAGGCGAAAGAGGGCAATGGTGTTCTGAGAGATGTTGTAGTGGATCAGAACCTCAGAATCATTGCTGATTCCAAAGGACACATCTGGGAATTGCTGCACCATGCTGTGGAATACGGGCACTATTGGCATTTCTAAATCCTGGAAACAAGAGGGAAAAAAGAAAACCACAGAGATTATTTTGGAGGAGAGGCAGAGAAGAGGGAAGAGACAAATATGGACGCATATCAGAGATCATAGATCGGATTCAGCAGCCAGTGAAACAACATTTACTCTTAAGAACGCAGGTTAAATCCGCAGTGGCATTTTTGAATCTTTCAAGCTGTGGAGTTAATAGGGTGCTACCAGAATCGTGGCTAGGCTGCTCATAGAGCAGGAAGTTTAAGAGTCGCCGAGAGAGGCCTCAAAACCAAACTTGGCTGTACTGGTATATTGGAAGAGGCAGATGCTATGGATACAATTTGTAGAAGGAAGAAGAAATGAGAAAGTAAGAAGTAGGGTGTTGTCAAGTGTCCCAAAAGGAAAAAGAAGGAAGAATAAAAGCAATTACAATTGGAGCTTAGGAAATTTCATTAACAAGGATTTGTGCACGATGTGGATGAACAGTGCCCCTCTTCCAAAGAGCTTATTGTTCATCATCCAACTCTGCAGCCAGGCCTGAAGTCAGGGGCAGAGAGCCCACTTCTGGGTGATGGTTCCTGTCCTTCCATAGCAATTTTGGCCACTGTCACAAGGACTTTTGCCTGCAGCAGCTCCAGGCACTAAATGAACATATTCTTCCCTGCATCTCCAGGCTTCCTGTGAAAGGAGAAAAGATGGCCGTCCTTGCATCTGGGGTCAAGTAGAGGAAGCTGGTCCCTTGCTCTTCTCAAAGGGTGAGTGTCTTTTATTAGAGGGTAGGGGCGACTGTGGACTAGAGCTTAGTCCTTTACAGCCCGCTCTTTCGAATGGCATTGCTCAAGGGTCCAATGCTGGCACCTGGCGGTCATTTAAGTTACTGCACACTTTTCTTCCCTCCGGACTAAGTGGGATCCCTTTCAGGTCTCTTCTCACCGAAAAATGTGTTCCTCATGTTCTCCTCTCACTTGCATCTCATGGCATGTGTTTCCAGCTCTGTAGGTGGAAGCAGCAGGGTGCCTGCAAGTTGGAATTAACGAATAGGAGTAGACAAGAGGTGTGCAGTGAGAGCAGGGGCTAAGAGATCAGCTAAGAGTATTGCCAGAAGCTACCCCCAGAGAGGGAGGAGAGTGCTGGAATGAAGGCCTCTCCTTCATGCTGCATTACCCGTCATCCAGGCAGCCAGCCTAGCAGGGGGGGGTTAACATCTTCAACATAAAAAGTCATGTTTAGGGCCGGGGATTCAGCTCAGCGGTTCGGTGGCTTGCCTCGCAAGCGCAAGGACCCGAGTTCAATTCCCCGGTAAAAAAAAAAAAAAAAAGAAGTCATCTTTAAAAGAAATTCAGAAAAGGAGAAGGAAAGAATAAGAAACTACGTCTTTGGGGAAAGGTTTAAGAGGTGACCATTAACTAATGCTTGTGGGTTTTGGCGTACCATATAAAAAGCATTATCTGGAAAATAAAATACGTGTTTACTGTGGCTCCTACTTTTTTATAGGGTGCAATGAGAGTACAGACTAAGGACAGTTAGGGCAACAGTAGGGTTTGATGAAAGCTTTCTTTCTGCACATACTGTCTTGGCTTCAAAGCATAAACAGATAAGGAGACAGAGGCAGCAAGCTCAGAGCTCACGAAGCAAGTATGGCAAAGACGTAATGCTGAGGTGGAATGCTTTGAGGTTAAGAAGTTTCAGTTGAGTCTCAGAGCCTCCTCGCTTCTAGTGCAGCAGCATCTGGGCTCCCTTGAGGGAGGACATGCTTGCCTCAGGGAGGCGTAGCCAGTCAGATGGCGGCACAAACCTGGAAGAAGCCTATGAGGGCCACCTCAGCAGCAGCGATGAATTCCACAGCAGTCGGGACATCTGTGAGCCACACCGGTTCCTGGGCAGCTCTGGGACCATCTGCACAGAGGGAAAGGCTGCCGTCAGGGCACTGAGTAGAGAAGCAGCTTTAAATAATGAGGACGTCCCATGTACCTTTTTCTCCACACTAAGTCCAAGGATATCATAGCTTCTGGGTGTGTTGTGATAATTCCAAGGCTTTGTGATTATTGTTTTTATTCGCGTATGGAAGGTGACCTCTCCTAATTGTCTCTCTCTGAAACATACCATTCAACTTGTCTCCTCTCTTCGAGGCGACACACATATGTAATATTTTCTAGAAAATGTTCCAGGTTTAGAAGGACAGTACCCAGAGTAGTATCACATTCCCCTCCCTTCTTCTAACAAAGCTTTTACTTTATGATCAACATGCACTGTTTTCTTTTACCTGAGGGTTCTTCAACCTCTGCAGCAACTTCTGGGGCCAGTCCACAGGTTAGAAGAAGTAAGAGAAATGGACATCTGAATTGGGTGGCTTCCATGGTCTTCTCCCTGCCTTAGCTCTGGGCTTCTGTGCTTTGTGGTGTGGATTCAGGGCATACTCTGTGTGCTGTGGGAATTCTAGTGCTCTGGGAACTTTGCAGCTGGCTCTGGAGGAACCTTCAAGTTCTGAGATAAAACACTGAACATAGTCACTGGGCCTCAGAACATAGCCAATCAAAAAGGAGTCAGAATAACCCATTTAACTTTTAAAAAGTACTCTATGCCAGGTCCTGACTTAGGCACTAGGAATACAAAGATAACTATGGTCTGATATGGTCGTTTCCAGCTTCACTTGCAAATGGGAAAGAGAGATGTATAAATAGACATTTAAACATGAGATGAAAAGTGATAAAGCATAAAAAAATCCATAGGGTGAATGAATTATACCCTATGAATAAATAAGATTTGCCAGCTCACAACATGTGAAAAGGGGGTTTCCTATGAAGAGCAAAGCCCAAGGATGCAAATATAACATGCAAGAGAATTGTTAGTGATTGACAATGATGAAGATGGGGGGAATGATAAATGCATGGGGAAGATATGCTGGGGTTAGCTGGAAAGGACATTTATACAATAAATAAACATAGGAGAATCAACTTCGGTCCCTGGGCGAAGAGAACAGAAGAGACATGTTTGATTCCACCACAAGTGACTGTGTGAAATCCAAGATGAGCACCCCACAGGTTGGGCTAGACAGGCCTCAAGGTTAGGAGAAACTGCTGTAAGAAAATATCATGAAAGAAATTAAATTTAGATTTTCATTACTTATGCTCTAAACATCACCCACCGCACACAGCAATCTGTTCCCAACTGGGTAAAGGTCCCCTACACTGTGGACTCCACTCAACTTGCAATGCGAACCACCTGATTAGCATAATTATTTGAATAAAGGAAACAGAAACAAGGGTCTCACTCAGAACCACAGTCCTTTTATTCTGACTCTCTCGTGTTGTGTACAGTGTTTCCCACGAAAGAAGAACCCCAACTGGCAGGACTATTACAAGGGAGTCATTGAGCCAGCAGCAACCGCAAAGGAATCCAGGGTGGCAATGAGCTACTAACCCTAAGGCCGAACAACTGATAATGGGAGTTTGCCAAGTTTTTGGCTTCTAGTTGCTCAAATGAGAACAAGAGAGGGAAATGTTACACTGAGGTGGGGAACTTGGGAGATGGGGCACCCATTGGGACTCACAGGGAGTGGGCAGGGTTTAAGCCTCATGTGCCCTCCAGGGACCCAGGGATAAGATGCATCAATAAGAAAACGTGGGGGTGTTGGAGAAGGGACCCAGCTGTGAATAGGAATGAGGGAGGAAGGAGGGTCAGGACCATCAATGTGGCTGGGAGGATCCTTCCGGGTGGTAGGAATGGTGAGGAGATGGGCAGGTGCACTCATTCTGTCCAATCCTTCTTAATGGACAGGTTCCACTCCCAGGTGAGGTGGTCTTGCTTGTCATCATCGGTGAAGAAGGACTTGTTGTGGTAGGTGCCTCTGGCCAGCATTCCCTTGGGAGCCTCCTCCACTGGAGTGAGGAACTCATACTCCTCTGGTCGGGGCCCATAGCTGCCAACCATAAATGTTGCTTTATCCACTAGGAAGAAAGAAAGGATCATTAGGCAGAGGAAAAACACACACTGCAAACTGGAGGATCTAGAGCATAGCTCACAATGACGAAATCCAGAGCAATAGTTCAGCTTGGCTGATCATGTTTTACCTAGGCATTTTTTGTTTAATAATTTTTTAGAATGCTTATGCCCACCACCCCCAGCACTAGGGAACTCTATCACTGGACTACATCCCCAACCCTTTTTTGAAAACTTTTATTTTGAGATAGGGACTTGCCAACTTGTCCATGTTGGTCTTGAACTTGGGACCCTCCTCAGCTCAGCTTCATGAACCTCTGGGATTTCAGGGATACATCATAGTGCAGGGCTTGGAGTGACTTTTAAATAACTGTTTCCTTTGCCTTGCTCCCAAAGGCTGTGGGTCAGTACCCTGTTGTGGGTCCCAAGAATCAGTAATTAAAAAAAGCATCACAGCTGACTCTGTTCATCAAGAAAGTTGGGGAACCAGTGTCTTAAATCAATGGAGGTCCACTCTGTGTATGGAGTTGTAAAAGATTATACCATTAAAAATGGACAAACAAGTTGAGATATTACTGTTACTACCTGATTCATATGGCATTTTGGGCTTTCATTTCCTCCTCTGTATAATGAGCTTTAAGGATCTCTTATGTACAAACCATCATTCAGTGAACCCGTTCATTAGAGGAGATACCTCAGCAGCTAGTAATACAAAGAGAATTCATATATGGGAGAGGGAAATCAGTAAATTGGTCTATATAAAAAGTGAAGAATTGCGACAAATAGTGATAATAGCTAATTGAATTTATTTATGGGGTGAGTAACTAGGATATAAATATTAAAAGTGGTTGGGATGAGATATATTAAGAAAGGTAAGTAGCTACACAGGTAGTGTATTGTTGGCTTTTAAGCGTCAGGCTTGAAGGAACAGCTACAGACACATCACGGACCTTTTGCCAAAGTGAGTCAAGATAGTCTCTGTGTTCAAGAGAAATAAGAAACTGAGCTATCCTTTCATAAGACCAGGTGACAGGAAGGCCAAACACTATCTTTCCGGTCAACAGTCTCCTCTGGGATTTGAGTAACTGGTCGGCTATTAGGTTATACAGATTTATCAGACAATTTCTCCTCTATCCTTTCCTCATCAGTTTGGTAGGACTGGCTGTGATTCACTATTCTTCACCTGTGGGGAAGACGGCCTCACAAGCAGGAAAGGACTGTGAAGGTGCTTCCCTCACCTTTCTAACTTTCCTTTCTCCCTGGTCATATTAATGAAAGAAATCTAAAGGCACGTTCCTAAGACATAACAGCAGAATAAATAACATTGTTCTGCTATTCTTCTCATTTGACAGCTTTTCTCAATCCTGGACAGAGTATTTTTTCACTATGTCTTTGTTAGGAAATTAAACACTGCCTCTCTAGGTTACTCCCGATTCCCACCCCCAACACACATAACCCTCGGCAAATCTTCTTTTAGATTTGTCTGATACTTTGCTTTTATACCTGAGAATTATTTCCTTTTCCCTTTTGTGTTTCAACATCTTGTATTTCATTTAAACTTATCTCAGTTACTCTTTCTGTATATGAGCGTTATAGTTCAGTTACAGGAGCTTAATGGGGAAGGTTATTGGCTGATTCTATCCAAAGTAGATAACATGAAGATTGTCCTTGCTGAAGACTTCTAGGTCAGAGGTATGTGTGTTCCTAGGGTGGGCATCCACAGCTTTGACCAGATTCTTGTAAGAGTCTATGACTGAACAGTTTTAATAGCCAGTGTTTGAAGCTCCAGTGAGAAGCAGTTTGGGACAGTGGAAAGGATGGGGTCCCTTACCTTTCAGCCCAGTCCGATAGGTGTGCTGAACATATTTCAGGCCTGACACAATATCCTTGTTTACCTGTAGATGGGAATGATCCAAGAAATTTATGTTAAAGAGAATCTTACTGAACTTTACTCTTCCTCATTTTTCACGTTAACCCTGCTTACATCCTAAATCTTCACTGAGGGTGAAAGGTCTAACGGTTTAATCAGAATATGTGTTCCAATAATCAGTTAAGGTAGTGGTAAGGCAGAAATCCAGGACAGATCACAAGACTCAACCTTGCCAGTCCAGTTTTAATCAGTGAATACTGTTTTTTCAAAATTGTTTGGTGAGTAGTTAATTAAAACATTCTCCCAATATTCATCATTAGATTTTTCTGTGCTTCATGACCCCAAAAATAATCTTAAGTGTCCCATAGCAATACTACCAGCCAAAATATCAACCTTGTCTCAGGAAAGGTTATAAAAATACCAATGAAAAATATTATGTAAACACCTGAAAACCATAACCTCAGAAATGATCCACCTAGCATATGAAAAACAAACATGGAGAAAAGTCATAATGGAAAATCAGGTCTGGAAGATGGTTACATCCTCCACATAACTGAGAATGAAGTCTACAGGTAAGGTGATGGGCCATGTGAAGATACCCTTCCCCATCAATAATGGATAAAATCTATTTGCATCTGGCAAGCTTTTTGGATGTTTGCCATTCTCACACCTTGTCTGAGGTATTGTTATTTCCCAAGACTTTTAAAGAAAGCTCACAAAACTAGAATGAAAATATAGACAGCCATGTACTTTGCTTTTCCATGACTCATTTTACCTGAGTCTGAACTGGGTTGTCTGTTAATTTCACACAGTGGTCACGTCTATACAAACAAACCAAAGTGGACACTGAATCATTAGCTGGAGGGCTTAGGTAACTGTTTAGCAACATTAAGAAGTAAAGAACTTGCAAATGTATTTCCCCAACACAATGATGGCTCCTCGTGGCTCACTTTATGTGTTGGATACAATAGTTAAACCAATCTACCAGGACTATCTTTTGTTCTGTTGATGGTAAGTTGGCAGAGTGGTGAAGACTCTGTAAGATTAAATTCTAGACTTTTAATCAGTATAAACTTGCCCGAAGCTAATAGAATGAAAACGGATTCATTGGAGAGAATGAAATAAAGTGAAGCCCAAACTTTCTTGTTACTTTGACTTCCAGATTTAGCTCTGGAAAATGAATATGTTTTCTAAAAGTCTTGAGCTTGTCCCTTAGGCTAGTGGGAGAGATGAGTTAATGGGAAAACGGCCCATGAAGAAGAGTAAAGGGGTAACAATAAGGAAACAGAGTCAACTGTTTGAGCATTGCTCCATGGAGGACTCATTAAGTACAAATGCATTCAGGATGGGTAAAGGAAAAGTACGAATATGCACAGTATCTTTTCCTCCGCCCTTCCCCGCTTCCCCACTGTGTCTCCCACCTTGGTGACATGAATAAAGGTGAGAGCTGTGGAAGTCAGTAGCGCTATGTGTAGTTGGGAAGCTAAGGAAAAGGGAAGAAGCAACTAAAAGAACCACCTAGGCCCAGAGCTCAGAGTGTTGTAAAGTTTAGGAAGAGGAGAAGAACATTAAGAATGACACAGAGAGAATGCGAGAGGATGTTAGGATGTGTTGCTGACACTGTAAATGCAGGTTTCCTTGGATTTAAAAAAATAGAGAGACATCAGTGAAGATGTTTGCTCTTCTAATTGGAGCTCCAGGCTGGGGCAGGCCCAGAGCCACCCTGTAGTTTAGTGAGATTTGTACAGCACAGTCTTTCTCCTGCTAGTGACGAGGGCAAACCTCTGAAGTGGACGGGACTTGGAAGTCCCTTTCTGGGCCCTGAGGTGCAGTTCTGATCTCCAGGAACCCAAGCAGCTGCATCTCCAGACCGTCCCTCCTCATCTTAGTCACATCAATTTGCCTGTCATATTTACTGTGATAAAAATGGAGTTCTTAAACTGACAATACAATTCCACACATGATTAAAGAGTGAGCCTATGTGCAGCCTGTTGTAGGGATAGTTGGGTAAAGTGCTTTACCAAACCCCTAGGTGCTCTCCTAATAAATGGTGTGGCAGGAAATAAAGCAGCCCATAGTTCAGGGCCAATTACAGGCTGGGTGTCGGCAAGTATTTCTAGAATGAGATTATTTTGAGGTACATTTTCAGTGGGGGGGAGTGATCTCCATGCACGCTGAATCATATCCTGCACCCAGGGCAAAAAGAGCAGGTGGAGCCTTGCTTGGCGGAGCTCAGGTCCTGGAGAATGTGACTGAGTGGGAATTAGGGCAGCCAGAGCAAACACAAACCATGACGTGCAAGCAGCACAGTTGTGACCTGTTTGTGTTCAGAGTCAAGGTTAGTTTTCTTGTGATTGTGGCTCCTCCTTGCAATGGATGCCTATTCACCAGAAGTCAGTTTATTTCTTATTTACCTTTATTCCTACCTGGCCACCTGCTCCACAACTATAACTGCAATTTCCAGTAATATAACAAAGACTGAGGTCTCATCTCTTTCTCCTTGTTAAAGGTGAATTCATTTTTTGGTCCATTTCTCAATGCATACACACTAAATGCTCTCTGAGAAATACTGGAGAGGAGGGATGCATAATTTCATCCTGCTCAGTGTGCTGAGCTTGTGTCAGGAAGAAATGTCACAACTGCTACGACCCACACCTCTGTGTATGTTGTGGATGTGATGTATCAGGAGTTCCTCGTCAGAGGGATCCTGCTGGGTTAAGCGACCAGAGGAAAGTTTGAGGGACCCAGGCTGCGAAAGGCAAAGCAGGGGAGGGTTTCAGGAGGTGGAACTCAGAGGTGGGAAGAGGACATTCCAGACCAAGTTTTGGGGTTCAGGGAGGAAAAGTATGTTGTGTGTATCAGGAGTTCCTCGTCAGAGGGATCCTGCTGGGTTAAGCGACCAGAGGAAAGTTTGAGGGACCCAGGCTGCGAAAGGCAAAGCAGGGGAGGGTTTCAGGAGGTGGAACTCAGAGGTCAGAGGTGGGAAGAACACAGAGAGAATGCGAGAGGATGTTAGGATGTGTTGCTGACACTGTAAATGCAGGTTTCCTTGGATTTAAAAAAATAGAGAGACATCAGTGAAGATGTTTGCTCTTCTAATTGGAGCTCCAGGCTGGGGCAGGCCCAGAGCCACCCTGTAGTTTAGTGAGATTTGTACAGCACAGTCTTTCTCCTGCTAGTGACGAGGGCAAACCTCTGAAGTGGACGGGACTTGGAAGTCCCTTTCTGGGCCCTGAGGTGCAGTTCTGATCTCCAGGAACCCAAGCAGCTGCATCTCCAGACCGTCCCTCCTCATCTTAGTCACATCAATTTGCCTGTCATATTTACTGTGATAAAAATGGAGTTCTTAAACTGACAATACAATTCCACACATGATTAAAGAGTGAGCCTATGTGCAGCCTGTTGTAGGGATAGTTGGGTAAAGTGCTTTACCAAACCCCTAGGTGCTCTCCTAATAAATGGTGTGGCAGGAAATAAAGCAGCCCATAGTTCAGGGCCAATTACAGGCTGGGTGTCGGCAAGTATTTCTAGAATGAGATTATTTTGAGGTACATTTTCAGTGGGGGGGAGTGATCTCCATGCACGCTGAATCATATCCTGCACCCAGGGCAAAAAGAGCAGGTGGAGCCTTGCTTGGCGGAGCTCAGGTCCTGGAGAATGTGACTGAGTGGGAATTAGGGCAGCCAGAGCAAACACAAACCATGACGTGCAAGCAGCACAGTTGTGACCTGTTTGTGTTCAGAGTCAAGGTTAGTTTTCTTGTGATTGTGGCTCCTCCTTGCAATGGATGCCTATTCACCAGAAGTCAGTTTATTTCTTATTTACCTTTATTCCTACCTGGCCACCTGCTCCACAACTATAACTGCAATTTCCAGTAATATAACAAAGACTGAGGTCTCATCTCTTTCTCCTTGTTAAAGGTGAATTCATTTTTTGGTCCATTTCTCAATGCATACACACTAAATGCTCTCTGAGAAATACTGGAGAGGAGGGATGCATAATTTCATCCTGCTCAGTGTGCTGAGCTTGTGTCAGGAAGAAATGTCACAACTGCTACGACCCACACCTCTGTGTATGTTGTGGATGTGATGTATCAGGAGTTCCTCGTCAGAGGGATCCTGCTGGGTTAAGCGACCAGAGGAAAGTTTGAGGGACCCAGGCTGCGAAAGGCAAAGCAGGGGAGGGTTTCAGGAGGTGGAACTCAGAGGTGGGAAGAGGACATTCCAGACCAAGTTTTGGGGTTCAGGGAGGAAAAACAAAAAGCATGACAACATGATAATGTGTGACGCTTAGTCGCTGATCATAGGAAAGATTTGAACTAAAAATACACAGGGCAAGATACTTACTTTGAAATTAATTTTGACTCTATATTCAATACCTTCCTTTAGCAACAAATTTTCTTTTTTGAGGGATTCAAGGACTCATGAAGAAGAAGATTTGGAAAGAGCTTAGCAAACAAAAAGCATGACAACATGATAATGTGTGACGCTTAGTCGCTGATCATAGGAAAGATTTGAACTAAAAATACACAGGGCAAGATACTTACTTTGAAATTAATTTTGACTCTATATTCAATACCTTCCTTTAGCACAAAATTTTCTTTTTTGAGGGATTCAAGGTCTCCTGCAGAAGAAGATTTGGAAAGAGTTTAGCCTCCTCAAAAGCAGCTACCGAAAGAGACGAATGAAATCTAAGCTCCAGCTATTCGCTGGGCTCACTGGGCAACACGGCCCAGAGGGACCTCAATTCACAGGGTATTTGAGATTTGTTCCTGTGCAGGCACACACGTAAAACTGGAGCTCATTCAGGTGTGTGTGTGTGTGTGTGTGTGTGTGTGTGTCTGAGTGTGTGTGTATGTGTGTGTGTGTGTGTGTGTCTGTGTCTGTGTTTTGCAGCTTTGTACTTGTGCTTCATTTTACAGATGCTATTGTACCTCTGGGGTTCAGCTCAGCAGCTTCACCAAGACAGAAAACTCCATGTGGATTCTCTCTCTGCTGGGAAAGGGACACAGGGACCAAGCTTTCCCTGTGTCCTTCTCAACAAATTTCCCCCTAGTGCTCAGACTTTATCTTGCAGACTGACTGTTGGACCTGGCAACATGACACCATTTTGCACAGGAAGAGGACTGAGTTCTGGTGACAGAGTGCGTTTGTCTCCTGGGGAGGTGTTGGAGGTGGGGCTTGTGGATGGGTGTGTGTGCGTCTGCACCAAGGAGGGTTGCACAGGAAGTGTGTCTTCTCAGCCTCTGATTTCCTCCTTGGGACAGAGAAAGCCCATATAAGGTAAAGTGTGGATATGTACTGGGACGAGGAAGTTCCTTGTTGCTCAATCTACCATCCTAGAAGGGTACTCTGCTCTGCCACACCAGAGTGCAGCATTTGAATTTGGAAATGGTTTTTTTTCTACTGACAACCTGCCTTTGATAGCTCCGGTCTCCCAGCCCTGTGCCCTTTTCTCATTTTTGACTCATGTTAATTTCTGCCTTCACAACCACCTTCCCAGACTTTCCCCATCTCCTGAAGACGTGAGACTCAGGAAAGGGCTTGGCCCTTAGTCACAACAAGGTGAGAGAAAATAACATGTTTATTTATGCATCTTTTGTAGGGAAATCTGTTTAATAAGAAGCAGAGCTTTATACTTAAATGTAGAGTAGTTCTACCATTCCTCTGGAGGTTGCTCTTCTCCTTAGGTGGGATGGATAGCTGGTAAGAGATTAGTGCTTTGTCTGATAAATATCACAACTCCAGAACATATGGCTTTCTTCTTTATATTTCCACCTACAGTCCTTCATATACAAATAGTAATTTTTCAGCTAATATGTGAGAATAAAGATTTGAAATAAATATGACACAACTTAGCATGTCATCAGTTAGTGTATATTTGCACCCTCTTCGATTAAATGGAATAGATTTATGAATTAAGTATGGCTAATATTGTGCACTCTAAGCTCAGTTATTTGTGAACTAGTCCAAGCATATACACTCCTGAGAGTCACCTTACTAGGGTTTTCTTCAGCAGAACAGGAGCCGAAGACCAAGTTTCTCTGTGATATTTTAGGCACAGTGGTGTCCACTTACCAGTAAGGTCCATGGTGATTGGTCCTGGTGCACTATCACAAACCAGGGTGAGCCGTGTGACAGTCACATTTGGGACTGTTGGATCTACAGGATTCAAAAGACAATGCAGGCATGAGGAAGAGACAGTGTATACTGTGTTGACATTTCAGAAAGAGAGCAGAAAGAGGAAACTAGTATCTCTGGAGTAGAAATAGAAATGGTAGATTGGCCTTCCTTGGTTGTGATGGCCTTCCAAATTGCAGCTGTGTTATTCCTATAACAGGTACTCGTGGGATCATCTTAAGGATCAGCATCAAACACTTCATTAGTGGCTGTGCATAAGGCACTCTGCCTGTTGGACACTGCTTATCTCCAGCTCGGGCTATGCCTTGCTCTGCCATTGTGTATATGGAGGAGACAAGTGGTTAGGAAAAGACTGAGAAGAAAGAGAGAAGACGAGAGAGCGAGTGGAGAGGAATACAGTCTACTGATGGTCTGGAATTCTTTCTAAATCCTCCCTGTGCATACTTCTTGCCTGGCTCATTGCTGACCTGCAGCTACATGCAAGGAAGACAACTGTAGGATCCACAGCTGTGTTCAGCATGTACCACTGTGCCTCTCCCTCCTCATCCTGCAGGCATCTGGTAGCCTCTCGTTTGCTTCTGCTCTTGAATGGCTGCAGTGCATCCTTCTCTGGGGTTTCCCCACCCCCAGGTACACACCTGCTACCACAGGAGCATCCCCCAGCAGGGTTTTCTTGTACTTGGCTAGACTTTCATCATCTTTGTCCATCTCCTGTAGCTCCTTCAGGGACTTCTGAGGTGGTGGCTTGTAATTGAGCTTGCTGTCCAGCTCATCATCACCTTCATCCAGCTGTGGCTCTGTGTCCTTTTCTGTCATCTTGATCTATTCAGAAAAAGGAGAGGGGAGTCCACTATCTAAACTCCTGGATATGCAACATATTTGTGGGGCTGGTATTACCACCGCCCTTGCTCTAATGAACTTTTGGGGTCATCAGTGATTTTCTAGATTTTTTTCTATCTCAGTCTCGTGTTCCATGAAATAAGAGTATTATTATATTCTGGTCATTTCACTTCTGGCCTCAATTACTCTTTACTGCGTTGAATATCTCCTATACATTGAATGCAACTGACATGAAAGAAATGATTTATTTGTGAACCATATACTACAAGTGAAGCAACACAACACAGCCAATCCCAGACCATGATTAACAGCCCAATCAAATCATTACAGGAACCATCAGTCCTTCACTCAGGCCAGTCCTGCTCCAAGCTCCCGGCGTGCACAACCTCTATTATGGTGGTTTTAAAATACAGCCAGTGAAACAGTTGGCTTCTTCCCTTTCGGTCAATCCTTCCCCGAATACCTGCGACACCTGAAGAATTACAGACCTGATACGTGCGTGAAGTATCTGAATAGTTCCTGCCCGATAGTGCTGAAAACTTCTTGAAAGCAGGCAATAGGTTCTGTGTGTTTCTTGAATTCTTCTACAACATTTGAATTGCTCAGCATTTTGTAAATATTTATTGATTGATTCATGAGGTTCTATAACTGAAGATATTTGTTCTTTTGATATGCAATAAAATAGCAAAGGATTCTTAAATTCTTCTACAGAAAATTGTCAATATAAGCATTTTCAGCTCCATGCTACCCACCTCTCACTTCTGGAAGTAGGGCTTCCTTCTGTGTCCCTACCTTGCTGCCCCAAGTTTCCAGTAACTTTGTGCTCTAAGGCCCCATCTTAGTGGCCCTGGAGTGTTCCTTTTTTGTTTGTTTGTTTGTTAATTCCTTAAGTTTACTGGTACATTTTAAGTACACAATATGATGGTATTTATCATTGGGAATTTGTACCTTTACATGATATATCTTGGCTCTTATTTTTCCCCATTCCCTTGCCCTCTCTTCCACCCCTCCACCTTTCCCTATTTATAAAGACTTTGTTTTCATTTTTTCCTTTTCTCATATTTATTCCTTTCCCTTTCCCTGCCCCTTCCATTTCTCCCTCTCCTTTGGGCCTTAGATTTCAATTATTTATTACACATTTTGAACCTTATTTACACTTATAGTTTCTCACAGGAGTGTTCCTTCTTTTACCATCACCTACATTTACTTGTTATATGTGAAAACATGGAGGAGAAATCTAGTAAAATCAGTCCACATATAAGCATGAATGATGAGGGCATGGGTAGTCAGAGCTTTTCAGAACCAAACTAAACCTCAGGGGTAACACTTCCAGCCTCTTATTTAATCACTGAGATCACTGAGATCCAAGGATTAGGGCAGTTGCCTGTATTTGCACAGTTGATTAAGAGCTGCGATATTTTAATCCAGAATAAGAAACTCATAGGGGAGGAACTTCAGGGCCTGTGGTTGCAGCAATGAGAGATGGTGACAGGGAGATGTTGGGGCAAAGAGATCACTCTCTGATTTCTTTCACAAGATAATTTGGAAGTGAAGCCAAAAAAATAAAAATAAAAGAAAGAAAGAAAGAATTTTGATAGAACAGAAATAAATGAAAAGGTTAAAAAAAGAAGGAGAAAGATGTGGGGAAAGGAGAGAGAAGAAGAGAGAGGAAGAGAAAAGAAGAAAAAGAAGAGAAGGAAAGCAAAAAGGCTATTCTTGGGTCATCATTTTTCTTTCAGCTAAACAACCAGCAAAAGGATAGGATCCTTGACCAAATCTGAAAACAGCATCACAATGCCAAGATCCACTTCCTGTACAGGAAGGAAACTTGTAGGCCTGTTCCTATGGCAACTCTTGTTTCAGCTGCAGAGCCAGCATCCCTCAAAGCTCAGACTCAAGTGACTAGCAGAGAAAAATATAGCAATGAAACCAGCTCATATTGCAAATGACACTCAGAGGAGACAAATGAACTAGCTGCTAAAATGCAGGTGGGAAGTTGGAAGTCGTAGGTCATTGAAGGACAGTCATTACAGAGCAGATGAACAAACCAGGCAAGGCTAATCAGATAAGACAGGTTCTTATCTGCTGTCTGAGGCCTAAGAACTAATACAGATAGAGACCACATAACAAACCTTGCAGAGCCTCAGGAAGGCTATTTATACTAACAAGGGCATCTCAGCCCCTATGGTCAGGCATTTCTGAGTATATCACTTGGTTCCAGCAAATCACCTGTCTGAAGTCTGTTAGATGGTAACATGACATACAGCCATTAGCTCAAGGTGATCTCATTCACCTACAGGGAATTGTAATTCTATAACTTTGATCTCAATTTTTAAGGGATAATGAGAAAGGGAGGGGGAGCTCTGGTTTAGCATAAGATTTGCAAACATCTGTGTGCCCACTGGCAAGTGAACTTACCCTTCATCCAGGTCTTAATCTTATTGCTCTATCTGAGATCAATATTGGTTCTGTTTTCTTGATTCATTGCAAACATAGTTATTTAATAAAAATAAGACTTTAAAAAAAAGACATCTGAGAGTAGAAGTGTAGAATTACTGTACTAACTTGGTGCATTCAAGAAGAGGGAATTCAGAACCCCACTAAAAGATTTTGGTCTAATTATAACACAAGAAAACAAGGAAGAAACCAGATAATTCAAAACTAGCTTAGTCCAGAAAGCTGTTTAGAAAAAGATGACAATGCAATGATATAGCAAATAAAAAGAATCAGAAAGCAGTTCTTGTGGATAGCATTTTAAAGCAAAATTAAGGTCAGAATTAGTTGCTGAGCCCCTACTGTTTACAAAGCATTGCACCGTGATGCATAGTGATGTTTAAGAAGTTCAAAGAGTGGTGAAATGAGTGGAAGTGAGGAGTTTTACTCATATTAAAAGGCTTGAATAAAGGCTCTTAATATTTTGGAGATTATAGGTCTCTTAGAAAATCTGATAAACATCAAGTTCCTTATCCCAAAGTAAAAGGAATAAAATCATGAAATTATGCAAATGATCCAGGGTCTCTTGGACTCTGAGGTCCTTCACAGTCTGTATTGAAATTGGAGATCCCTAGATTAGGAACACGACCTTGAAACTGTAACTTCCCGGAAGCCTGAAGCAGAGGTGAGGGAAGCCTGTTCAGATGAGGCCCAGCAGGGACAGTTACCCACGGAGCCTGCAGCTCAGGATCACGTCCACCCACCCAACTGTTTGAGATACGGAAGCAGAAAACGTCAGGCGACACCTGTGTCTCCAGGGTCGTTACCAGAATGGCCAGCAGGTGAGCACAGGTGCACAGGGAGAAGCCCTCCAGAGAATCCTGTGGTCAATCTGTTTGGTTTCTGATGATTCTCTCTTCCCCAAACTGGCTCTGTCACTCATGGGTTTTGGTGCTGGTCCCTGACTGTGATCTCCCTGAGCAAATGTCTGACACTCCATGGATCATATTCTCCTCACCTTGGGAGAGGGAGATGATAGCACACCATCTCTAGATGTTTTAAAGTCCTAAGCTTCTATCTGAAGATTTTTCCTCACCTGCAGTCATGTGTCAGCTAAATCACCAGAAATTCAGTTATCTTATCGCACTAGTATATCTAAGAGAATATCTGTCTCTGCTTCATAATTTTAAACTTATATGAATTCCCAAAAGATGCTGCATTTTTTATTTCACTTTTTCCCAGATATAGTTATTTCTCTTTTACCCAGAAGCCCTTTGCAGAGCTAAGGATATAGTTATAATAACTGTAAATGGTTATTGAGCTCTTATCTTGAGCCCAGAACTTAACAATTGTGTACTAAATGCTTCATAGGTATTATTTCACAATAATGTGAGATAATAATCACAATATTGTGAGGCAGGCACTGGTACATTTTACAAAGGCAGAAACCAGGACAGAAGAAAATTTTGAATGTTTCAATCACACAAAATTTAAAATTTCCTGCTCAAGCTTTGAATGAAAAGAGTAATATCCAAGCCCCTAAGAAGGAAGTATTTGCCATGCATTTGGTTAGCAGTAATATCGAGAATATATAAATCAATGGTTCTATAAATCAGTTTTAAAAAACTATTTTGTACAATTAAAAGTATAAAACATGATTTTATATATATATATACATATATATGTATATATATATACATATATATATATATTGGCAGTAGAAAGTTTACTATAATCAGGCAAATTAACATATCTATTTCCTATAGTTACTTTATTTTTTGTAGCAGGAACCCCTTAAATCTATTCT